GTTAGGGAAGTTTTCTGCCATTATTTCTTTAAATACATTCTCTACCACTTTCTCTCTTTCTGCCTCTTCTGGCACACCTGCTATTTCTATATTGTTTTTTAAAAAATATATTTTATTGATTTTTTTACAGAGAGGGAGAAGGATAGTTAGAAACTTTGATAGAAAGTTAGAAACATCGACCAGCTGCCTCCTGCTTACCCCCTACTGGGGATGTGCCTGCAACCAAGGTACATGCCCTTGACCAGAATCTAACCTGGGACCCTTCAGTCCGCAGGCTGACACTCTATCCACTGAGTCAAACAGTTAGGGCTCTATACTGTTTTGTTTCACACTGTCCCACAGCTCCCTTAAGCTGTCATCCTGTTATTTGTTTTTTCTTTTTGGTTCTCTCATTGAGTAATTTTTTTTCAACCCTGTGTTCTTAATTCACTGATTCAATCCTTAGCTTCCTCTAATCTGCTATATATTCCTTCCAATGTGTTCTTTATTTGTGTTATGTCATTCTTTATTTCAGATGGTTCGTTTTGTCTTAGTTACTATATGCTGTTGATCATCTTTACCACCATTACTCTGAACTCTATTTCAGATAAATTTGTTATCTCTGTTTCATTTATCTTTTCTTCTGGAGAATTCTCTGGTTCTGTCATTTGTGGTTTTTTCTCTCATATTGGCTGCCTGTTTGGGTTTGTGACTATGTACTAGGTATATCTGCTATGCTTCTCAATCCTTAGTGTAGGACAGTGTTAAATGCTGTTTCTGACTAATTAGATCAGGTAAAGGCTCAAAGCCTCCAGACCAGCGGTTCTCAACCTGTGGGTCGCGACCCCTTTGAGGATCAAACGACCCTTTCACAGGGGTCGGGTAAGACCATCGGAAAACACATATATAATTACATATTGTTTTTTTGTGATTAATCACTGTGCTTTAATTATGTTCAATTTGTAACAGTGAAATTGGCGGTCACCACAACATGAGGAACTGTATTAAAGGGTCTTAGGAAGGTTGAGAATCACTGCTCCAGACTGATAGGATTAGGACTTGGATTGCCCTCAGGCAATTGTCCTCAGGTGTGGGGAGAGTTTTTTTCAACAGGGTGAGGCAGTTGCTTCTGCCTGGAGGCTAATTTTTATTTTTAGTCTCTCAAGTGGCCTCTGGAATTCCACATGATGGGGCAATGTGTTTTTCAATAGGGTGGGTCAACTGCCTTCTCCCCAGTCAAGGCCGTCTATATAGTAAATGTCTGTGTGGGAAAGATGTCCTCCACTGTGTGAGAAATTGATTTAGCACAGGAAACTGAGGTGTCTGCCTTCTGGGCTCTAACCCCAGAGCTCTGAATCCTGGCTTCTTCTCACACAGTCCACACTGCTATCCCTCTGCCGGAGCACAAAGTGGTGGCTCTACAGGGAATTTTGTGCATTGGCCCTTTAAGAGGGTGCCTGGTCCTAACTGGTTTGGCCTAGTGGATAGAGCATTGGTCTACAGACTGAAGGGTCCTGGGTTCAATTCTGGTCAAGGGCATTAATCTTGGTTTCAGGCTCAATCCCCAGTAGGGGGTGTGCAGGTGGTAGCTGATGCATATTTCTCTTTCATCGATGTTTCTATCCCTTTTCCTTCCTCTCTGTAAAAATCAACAAAATATATTTTTTAAAAAGAGGGTGCCAGAATTTCCAGTCATCTATCCCTGGCAGACAGCAACTCTGCTGCTTTTCACAGCCAGATGTTATGTGGGTACCCTTCTCAGTTCTGATGCTCTCTGCTGGGAGGCTCAGCTTGGGGATTAGACCCCAGAATTCTCAGAGGCAACCCCCCACAGCTGACATATCTCTTCAGAACTTCAGTTGCTGAATGTGGGAGCTCAGCCAGGCCTTTCGTGCCTCCATCCCTCCTACCAGTCTCTGTGAAGTCTCCACTTTCCATTCTTGGGTATCAGGTATCAGATTTCTCTCCAGTAAGTGTTTTGTTGATTATTCAGGAAGTTTTCCTGTACTTTAGTTGTGATTCCAGTTTGTTCCTGTGAACATGTCTATGAAGCATCCACTTACTCCTCTAACATTTTTAATCTCCGAGGTGTATTCAGTTTTTAAATCTAACAACTACTTTGGGGGATTTGCCCACCTCTCTAGGGTTTGAATGTGGGTTGTGTACCATATACTGTCTTTGAAGTTTACAGTTAACATGTTTCTCCTCTTCCCTTGCCCATGGGAGTCTCCTCTTTGACTCCTTAAAGTTTGCTACTTAGAGTGAAAGTTCAGCAGGCAGGTAATCATGCTGCAAGTTCTTTTTGGGCCTCTGACAAACGGAGTGATCAGTGAAGGCCATCACTATCTTGGGTTTTGCAAGGCTAGGTGTTTTTGCTACCCTCTTGCAGTCCGGGACCCCTCAGGGGATATCCAACTGATGGACTAGGCCTGCTCCCCAGGGGATCAGGCCTAAGTTGGCAGTCATACATCCCTCTGGCAGCACAGGAGCCACCACCGCTGTGCTCGCAGCCATCAGCCCAGCTTGTGGCTGAGCAGAGTTCCCCCTCTGGGAGAGCACTGACCACCAGGGGGCAGCTCCTGCATTGAGCTTCTGCTCCCTGGTGGTCAGTGCACATCCTAGCAACCAATCGTTCCACCGTTAGGGTCAATTTGCATATTATCTTTTTATTTATTGATTTCAGAGAGGAAGGGAGAGGGAGAGATAGAAACATCAATGATGAGAGAGAATCATCAATCAGCTGCCTCCTACAAGCTCCATACTGGGGATTGAGCCTGAAACCCAGGCATGCTCCTTGATGGGGAATGAACCGTGACCTCCTGGTTCATAGGTCGACCCTCAACCACTGAGCGACACTGGCCAGGCCAGTATTTGTCTTTTATGACTGCCTTATTTCACTTAGCATAATGTCCAAAAAGGTTTATTTGTGTTATGTGTCAGGTTTTCCTTCCTCTTTAAGTCTGAATAATATTATTGTATGTATATACCACATTTTGTTTTTCTATTCACCCATCCATGAACACTTGATTGGTTCTACTTTTTGACTAGTCAGAACAATGCTGCTATAGATATAAGTATGAAAGTATCTCTTTGAGCATCTGCTTCTAATTCTTTTGGATATGTACCCAGAAGTGGGAATTGCTGGATCATATGGTACTTCTATTTTTAATTTCTTGAGGAACCTCCATACTGTTTTCTGTAGTGGCTGCACCATTTCAGATTCCTACTACCCAACAGTATACAAGGTTACCAATTTCTCTACATCCTTGCCAACACTTATTTTCTGTTGTGTGGGTTTTTTTTTTATAGTAGTTATCCTAGGGGGTGTGAGGTGGTATCTCATTGTGAATTTGATTTGCATTTCTCTTATGACAGTCATTGGTATTTTCTTCCATAATTACACCCAGGAAAAGTTGAGAACACAGACCAAAAGGAATGTACAAGACAAAATTCTGAAGAGTAATCTCTAGGCTACTGTTCCTGCCTCCCTTCTGAATAAAAGCCTTTTTGTGTCTCCAATTAAATTCCACTTTCACGGTTTAAAGAGAGTCATACTAGAAACTCCTCCCTTCTGAAGCCTGCATCAGTCCCTGTTGGGTAATGCTTCTCTCATTAGGACCCTTCTCCCAGCAATCTAGATGTGAGGAAGCAATCAAGGTAAACTAACTATGGTTTCCATGTCTTTAGGGAATAATTTATATTTCTAAGTGAAACCTAATCCATAGGGAATTTGCAGTAAATGGGAAACCTGTAGGCATTCCTTAGAATAACTTTCAGTAAATTGTTTCCCCTCTCTAGGGCAGGTTTTCTTTAGCAGTCAAAATGAGGGGCTAATTAAATAGTATCAAACTCCCTTTGGATTTAACTTTCTATAACATTAAAATATGTAATAGTAATAGCATACTATTATAGTTTTTGATCTTACCCTTTTTAAAAAAATTATCTTTATTGCTGAGAGTATTACAGATGTCCTCCCCCCTTTATCCCCTCTTAATTTTATCCTTGCTTACAATTTGTCAGAACCCATTTAAATCTAGATGTGATATTAATATATTGGTTTCAAGTGTATCCTTTCTAAAACATATTGCAATGCATATTATTAAACAATTTACAGTAATGGCCTCCACAAGCATTTCAGCTTCCTCATAAATCTGACTATAAAACATCCTACATTTCAATTGATTTAATTCAACACCAAACGTGAAAATCACCAATGATATCTATTCAAAATTTAAGTACATCTTTAATATTTTGCATCAGAACATCAGTGTTAGAAGGAACACTGGAGTGACTTAGTCCACTGCACTCACATTAAAATAAATAGGTCCTTGCCCAAACCAGTTTGGTTCAGTGGATAGAGCATCGGCCTGTAGGCTCGATCCCCAGTGTGGGGCATGCAGGAGGCAGCCAATCCATGATTCTCTCTCATCATGGATGTTTCTATCTCTCTCTCTCCTTCTCCCTTACTCTCTGAAATCAATGAAAATATATTTTTTAAGATATTAATAAATAAATAAATAGGTTCAGGGAGGTTCAAGTGATTTGCCTATGGTCACATACCTAGACAGAAACAGAGTAAAGACTAAAAGTTATTTAAAAGCCAGGTCTGTTTATTTCTTGTCCAGTGTTTCTACCCCATGTTTGCAAATGTCCAGTATCATATAACTTGATAATCTGTCTGGGTAACTGTTTCAAATCAATTATTTAGTACCAAAAGGGAATTAACTAGTCACAGTGTTTACCGACTGGGACAAAAGCTAGATCAACCGTTGAAAACAGCTATTCATCTACTTATCTTGGCTGTTTTGACTAATCTAATGGGTGACAACACTAATGAAGGATAATATATGGAATCCTAGAAGAATGCAACTCAACCTAGAATTTCCTTTGGCTATCAAATTCACTTGTCATTAGGACAATAAGAAAGTTAACTATTTTCAAAATGGAATATCCTAATATTACAATACTAGTTTAGAGTTTTAAATTCACCCCTCTTTCAATGTTAATAAAAAAACTCAGAATTTAGATTGTAAAAGTTTATTGATATGGTCAAAAAGCAAACAGCCAGACATTTGGTTATCTTTGCCACTACAATGTGTCATTTTGAATAGTATTTTTAAAATGTATAACAAATAATATTTAAACCATTACTAGAAAAGTAAATAGCCTAAGGCACTTCAGATGAAAGCTAATTTCAAAATTTTCACAAAGTTAACACTATTCTAAGTGTAGTAAACCTGCTTTCTACAGATTTTAGCCAGAATGCAACTTTTCTCCTTACAGCAAAAGAATGTGTTCTTAAGGGAGATAAAACAAATGCAACAAAACTGTCATTATTTCAATGCTCATGGCAAAGTATCTGGAGCTATATAGATTACATGGCAGTAGTATTCTCCTGGTCAGTCTATACAAATCAGGGCATCTTAATACAAGTCTCATAGAAATCACAGCATGAATTTATTTGGCCTGAGACAAGTAAAAGAACAGCAGATAAGGTATCCAGAATCACAAAATTTATAGGGGAGTAATAACAAAAAGTGGCTCCATTAAAGAGTAAAAGGTTGACTATAACCCTCCACCCACCAATTCTAATAATAAAAAAAAAAAAAAGACCCTACATGAAACATTTCTTCTTAGACAATTATATCCATCTCTTTCTGCAAACCTCTATTATATAAGACTTCTAGATCACCTGAAAGGCTTATTAGATAGTAAATAGTAGAAGGCAGTCACAGTATTATTTTGATTCAATACTTCTCAAGTTTCTTTAAAATTTTTTCTCAATCATAATTCTCGTATTTCCATAATAGTGTCATTTCAGTATACTCTTCATAACTATGGGAAGATTATAACTAGATCTAATGATAACAATCAACTTTCATTCTTCACAGAAATTTCTTTAGCACATATGGTTATTTCCACTGACAAAAAAGACAAAATTGAAACAAAATCCTTTTAAATGTTTACTTTGTTTCTCCACTTAAAGTGGAGAATAAAGGCTAAAATAATAGCACAAACAGAATAGCTTTCAAGAAACATTTAGTTTCTATTCATAGGCAATAACAATTATTTTGTAACCTTCTTTTCCTAACCTAGGGGAGTTCTTTTCCTAAACACAAGGATTATTAAAATATGTTGTAACTGTAATACAGTAATCAAGTTAACCAGATAAATCTATTTTTTTCTCTTAGGTACAAATGAAATAAGTGACAATCTCTAATTTGCAGAAACATTTTAGACCATTTTTAAGTTACACTGAGCTACATTTTTATTATAGAGTGAGCCACCTTAAATAAAACTAGGAAGACAGAATGAACCTGAAATCTTTCCAAATACAAGGTAGTTACTTCCATACTTATGCAGAAATCATAATCCTATACTTAGAGATACTTTTTTTTAACATCTACAGCCACCAGGAAGCATTGACAGTCAGCACTGTATTTCAATAGGAAAGATGGAGGAGGAGGACTGGCTAGTCTTTTTCTAAAAGCTAGACATGTACTCTGAAGAATAGTATTCTGTTTTCCGAAGACCACATAGCACATATGACTTCTCTGCCGGAAAGGAAAGATGTGCAAAAGTATACACATCCATGCAAAAATGGAAAAGCTAATATTGGATTCCTGATGTAGTTATCTGTAACAGGCATATGCAGGAACACCTGGTCAGAACCAACCCCCCACTACCACCTTTGGATAAGATAAAATCATATGGCAAAAGTTAACTATAGTAGTTTTGAACCTTGTTCTAATTAAGATGAAGTCATAATTTTGAACTTTTCATAAAATTCTTAATACTACTAAATTAAAGATTCCATCAAGTTCACTGGGAAGGGAAGGTAAAGAGGAAAATTGTATCCAAATACTTCATGATTATGATAGGAAATTGCTGTTAAGGCACTACACATCTTCTTTGGTTAAATGATTAACTAAATCACTTGAAAAAAAAAGAGGTAATACAAAATACACAAATTGCATTCTTCTTTTCATACACTTTTTCATTTTTCAATTTCCATTACTCCAGTGTCTACATATCTCTGGGATCCTTTTTAGCTCATCAGAAAGCTGAAACAAAAATATATAGCAATCTATTAGTCTCTGAAATAAAAGTAGGCTTTAAATATCTTGATTTTAACAGAGCAAAGAATGTTTGGGTGTATGGATAATAAACTTTGAGTATCGATAACAAAAAGTGAGAAACCCTCAGATACTGAGGTAGTCTTAGGAGAAAATGTAATAGATATAACTTCAAGTTAAAATATCTCCTGAAGAGCCCGGCCGGCGTGGCTCAGTGGTTGAGCGTCAAACTATGAACCAGAAGGTCATGGCTCAATCTCCAGTGTAGGGTGTGTGAACCCCAGTGTGGGGTGTACAGAAGGCAGCCGATTGGTAATTCTCTCTCATCATTGATGTTTCTATCTCTCTCTCCCTCTCCCTTCCTCTCTGAAATCAATAAAAATATTTTTAAAAATATATCCTGAAGATAGACACCAATTAATAATTGAATTAATCATGATGATCAAATAACTAACAGAAGTCCCAGCAAAATAACCCTTGTATCCCAGTTAGTATTCTACAGAGTAGAAATTATTTTAAAATATACTTACACAGAACAATGAAAGTATAAAGTTGGGAGGTTATAAGTCAAGAATCAAAGACCTGCCCTGACCAGTTTGGCTCAGTGGATAGAGCGTCAGCCTGCAGACTAAAGGGTCCCAGGTTCGATTCTGGTCAAGGGCATGTACCTTGGTTGCGAGCACATCCCCAGTAGGGGCTGTGCAGGAGGCAGCTGATCGATGTTTCTCTGTCATCGATGTTTCTAACTCTCTATCTCTCTTCCTTCCTCTCTGTAAAAATTCAATAAAATATATTTAAAAAAAAAACACAAAAAACCAAAGACCTAATAGGTTTTAGTCTTAAATAAGTTTGCAAGGAAAAAATGCAAGATTAATTTATGTTGTTCATTGATTAAAGGCATCTAAGAATGTCACAATATAATGAATCAACTAGGGAGTTGTTCAAAATAATATACTAAAAAGTTGAGTTAAAATATAAAGATTGAATTTAGGTTTAAAAATATCATTTGATATACTTTACCTTTAGTGTTCATAATCATTTATACAACAGGAAAATGTTATATTAAAAGAATAGGAATTACAGTAACTGGCACTCAGGTTATAAAATTAAACTAAATTACAACAACCCTAATTATGTACATTTCTCTTGGCTATTAACAGAGTAAAATCTAGAACTTATAACCAGGAGAGTAATTTCCTTCCTGAGCCTGAGAGAGCTCTATGAAGATTTCAAGATGTTCTTACACACTCTTTCGTACACTGTCTACAAACTGGATTTTCATCAAATGTTCTGTTTATGGCATAAAGAGCCCTGAAAAGTAGAGGTAAAAAGTCTTCAAAAACATTTAAAAATAATTATCCCCTTGCCCTGGCCTGTTTTGCTCAGTGCTTAGAGCAACAGCTCTCAGATCGAAGGGCCACAGGTTCGATTCCTGGTCAAGGGCACGTACCTTGGTTGCATGTGGGAGGCAACCAATTGATGTGTCTTTCTCTCTCTCCTCCTCCTCCCTCTAAAACGTATCCTCAGGTGAAGATTAAAAAAAATAATAATTTCCCCCTCAAGAGGTAGTATTGCATGCACACAAGGAATTGTGTGGGTAGATATGGCATAAAATGTTCTAATTATTGTGTTTTATAGATTTCTAGGTTAAATTAGGTGATGTTAGAATAACCCTGAAAGATGCTCCTGAGAAATCAAATATCATTGTCCATTATATAATTAAACTAATTTTATGATATAAACCTAAATTAAGTTAAAGCCTATCTCTTTGCTTTACAAGCTAGAAGCAAAAAAAAAAGTATTATAAAGCAACATGAGCTCTGATCTTTGTAAATATAGGTAATCACTATGTAAATCATACCTATATGGATATCCATGATATTTAGATCTGAAAATAGAGAGCAACCAACTGAAGAATAATACAACGAGTCCAATACCAGCCACACACATTACTGTAGAAAAACAAAAGCAGAGTAAAATGAGCATGTTAAGTGTAATGACAAACCAGGGCATACATTTTAGTCTACACTTTCAAGAGTGAAAAAACAAGAGCTATAACTTATTGGTAAATCTCAACTTTCCATCCCCATTCTTTTCTCTTCAGGATTCTGCCTTTTCCTTTAATTTGTTCTATTACAATATAATGGAGTAGCTTCATTTACATAATTGTGCAATTTAACTGTATGAATTAATGAATTCCTTTAACGCCATGATAATCAAGAATTTAGTGTTAAAAAGTTTTATTATTAACAAGAAAATTACTTATTAAACTCCTTTTAAACCCTTAAATATGGTTTTATTGATAAATACTGACTTAAAGACATCTGATCACATTGTAACAGTCTCACTGGAAAGTACCCTGCATAAGTAACTACTGCCAGGCATATGCAGGAACACCTGGTCAGAACCAACGCCCCATTACCACCTTTGTATAAGATAAATCATATGGCCAAAAGTTAACTAAAGCAGTTTAAGGAACTCATTCAACATGGATGCCTCATTTAAATGAGGGGGGGAAACCCTGATTCCTAAATTCTTTGCATTAATCTCATATGCTCTGGTTTAGCATAGCAGTTAATGACTTTAACTCCAGATACTGATCCCACAATGCTCAAGTATGATTCCCATAACTTGAGACTCTTTGAGTCCCTGGACTAAGACTGGCTACGAAGCATAAAGGTAGGGATGTGGGAAAGCATGTGTGCTACAGCAGTAGAAGCTTGAGTGAAATATACTTATTGGCCAATAATAAAAACAAATTTTAGTTTTCTTATATTAGAACAATTCTTTTTCCCTTTTTAATTTTCACACAATACGATTAGGGGCTAAAATGTAAAAGTTAAACATATGTAAAATACATATAACAGCTGATTCTATTACAGTTTCAAAGTGTGTATACATTTTTTTGGGATACCCTATATATACAGTATCACTCTATATGTTGTATTCTACTTTATTCACAGAACATACCTAAAAGTACTTAGGGCAGTTCCTGGTACACAGTAAGTGCAAATGAAATTTTTATTATTATTTGTGATTATTTCATTAGGTTAGAATCTTAGAAGTAGATCAAATTGTGATTATTTTAATGTCTCCAAAATGCTTTACAACTTAAATTCATGCCAGCAGTATAGCACCCAGATGGCCTTTTTCCAGTGATGAATACAGAAATAGGCAATTTTTTAAAAGTCAAGCAATTAAAAGATGTATATTAACTGAATAAAAAATTGATACGGAAAGAGAACCAAGATGGCGGCATAGGTAAATACCGGAGAATGCTGACTCGCACAACCACTTCAAAAATACAACTAAAAGGCCAAAAGCGGTTTGGCTCAGTGGATAGAGCGTCAGCCTGCGGACAGAAAGGTCCCAGGTTCGATTCCGGTCAAGGGCATGTATCTGGGTTGCAGGCACATCCCCAGTAGGAGATGTGCAGGAGGAAGCTAATCAATGTTTCTCTCTCATCGATGTTTCTAGCTCTCTATCTCTCCCTTCCTCTCTGTAAAAAAATCAATAAAAATATATTTAAAAAAAAAAATACAACTAAAAGACGGAATGGACATCACCCAGAACCACAGGAAGGCTGGCTGAGGGGAAATTCTTCAACTAGGAGGAAAGAGAACAGCATACCGAGACTCAGAGGAGGCGCAGTGCTGAAGTAAAATACTAAGGTACAGAGGCGCATGCGGAGTGGGCTGGTGGCTGAGGGCGCGGTTGTCTGTTTCAATCGGGAGGGAGGCTCAGGCCCTGAGATCCAGTTCTGGGCAAGTCTCTAGGGACCCAGACTCAAACGGGAGAAGTGAGACCGTCTGACATCGGTCGGAACGCGAGGGCAGCTTTCTCTCCGAGGTTTGCAGCGGTTGCTGGGACTCTGAGAGGCAGAGACTCTGGGGATGGGACTGAGAGCAGCCATAACTGCTCCCTCCGCCTGCCCTGTTTGATCCCGTGGGACCCGCCCCGCACAAGCCCTGCACAGAGCCATTTGCCAGATAGCCTCAGGCAAAGGCTAGATTAGCACCTCCCCAGAGGACAGAAGTTTGCCCACTGCAGACACAGCTGACTCTCACAGCCAGTTGGCCTGGAGGTCAAATCCCCCCAGTATTAACTACAACAATGAAGGCTTAACTACAACAAGACTGCGCACAAAGACCTCTAGGGGGTGCACCAAGAAAGCATAAAAAAAATGCGGAGACAAAGAAACAGGACAAAATTGTCAATGGAAGATATAGAGTTCAGAACCACACTTTTAAGGTCTCTCAAGAACTGTCTAGAAGCCGCCGATAAACTTAATGAGATCTACAAGAAATCTAATGAGACCCTCGATATTATGATAAAGAACCAACTAGAAATTAAGTATACACTGACAGAAATAAAGAATACTATATAGACTCCCAACAGGAGACCAGAGGAGCGCAAGAATCAAGGCAAAGATTTGAAATGCGAAGAAGCAAAAAACACCCAACCGGAAAAGCAAAATGAAAAAAGAATCCGAAAATACGAAGATAGTGTAAGGAGGCTCTGGGACAGCTTCAAGCGTACCAACATCCGAATTATAGGGGTGCCAGAAGATGAGAGAGAGCAAGATATTGAAAACTTATTTGAAGAAATAATGACAGAAAACTTCCCCTTCCTGGTGAAAGAAATAGACTTACAGGTCCAGGAAGCGCAGAGAACCCCAAACAAAAGGAATCCAAAGAGGACCACACCAAGACACATCATCATTAAAATGCCAAGAGCAAAAGACAAAGAGATAATCTTAAAAGCAGCAAGAGAAAGAAACTCAGTTACCTACAAGGGAATACCCATACGACTGTCAGCTGATTTCTCAACAGAAACTTTGCAGGCCAGAAGGGAGTGGCAAGAAATATTCAAAGTGATGAATGCCAAGAACCTACAACCAAGATTACTTTATCCAGCAAAGCTATCATTCAGAATTGAAGGTCAGATAAAGAGCTTCACAGATAAGGAAAAGCTAAAGGAGTTCATCACCACCAAACCAGGATTATATAAAATGCTGAAAGGTATTCTTTAAGAAGAGGAAGAAGAAAAAGGTAAAGATACAAATTATGAACAACAAATATGCATCTATCAACAAGTGAATCTAAGAATCAAGTGAATAAATAATCTGATGAACAGAATGAACTGTTGATTATAATAGAATCAGGGACATAGAAAGGGAATGGACTGACTATTCTTGGGGGGGAAAGGGGTGTGGGAGATGCGGGAAGAGACTGGACAAAAATCGTGCACCTATGGATGAGGACAGTGGGTGGGGAGTGAGGGCGGAGGATTGGGTGGGAACTGGAAGGAGGGGAGTTATGGGGGGAAAAAAGAGGAACAAATGTAATAATCTGAACAATAAAGATTTAATTTTAAAAAAATTGATACGTTATGTTTTCCTAATATGTAAAAATTCACTTTAATGTAGCAAAATAAGTATCTTTCAAATTTGAAATCCAGTGTCATCATCATTTTTTAGAAGAAAAAGTGAGTAGATTTAGCTAGGTTAATTTCGATGACATTTAACTTTTAACCGTAAAAGGAAAACTCGCACTTAAACTGATTTCTTGTAAGTAAAATAAAACTATATTGTTAGCATTTCTTTGCAACAAATACCAATGTGTGAATATTCTAATATATAAAAAGCCCATGCAAACCAATAAGAAAAGGACTAAGACTCTAATAGATAAATGGCAAAAAGACAAAAAGATGTTTTACAGAAAGAAAAGCACAAACAGCTAATAAGCATTTAGGAAAATATTCAATTTCACTAATAACCAAAGAAGTACAAAATAATATTAATATCTCCCCCTTATCTGATTAGACAATAAACACACATGAACACATGCTTTGTTAAGGTTACCTAATATTGATGAAGTTACAGTGAAAGAAGCATTCCTAAATACTGCTAGTAGGAATCTAAATTATCATAACATCTGGGAAAAGAAGTTGGCACCATCAGTTTAAAACATCAAGAGAACTGAAACTACTCATACACAGAACCACACATTCTACTTCTAGGAAATCTACCGTATGCTATAGGTTTTTTTTTTAGTTGTTTTTTTGGGGGGGTGGGGGGTGAAACTGGACAACTTGAACATATAGGTTTTAGGTGTGGGTTTCTATGTTATAAGATCTGTATATTGCACCATGTGCTCACCACTCAAAGTCAAATCTTCTCTTGTCACATTTATTAGAACCCCTTTCTCCCCCTACCTTAAGATATTAATATGAAACTAGAGGCCTGGTGCACGAAATTTGTGCATGGGTGGGGGGGTCCTCTCAGCCCAGCCTGTAACTCTCCAATCCGGGACCCTTCGGGGGATGTCAGCTTGCTGGTTTAGGCCCGATCCCGACCACAATCTAGGACCGCTGGCTCCTAACTGTTCACCTGCCTGATCACCTCTAACTGCCCCCCTGCCAGCCTGATCACTCCTAACCTCCTCTGCCTGCTGGCCTGATCGCCCCTAACTGCCCCCCACCCCTGCCAGCCTGGTCACCCCCAACTGCCACCCCCTGCCAGCCTGATTGCCCGTAACTGCTCCCCCCACTGGCCTGGTCGCCCCTAACTTCTCCCCCCCGCCCACCAGCCTGGTGCCCCCTTACTGCCCCCCCTGCCAGACTAGTCGCCCCATGCAGCCTGCTGTTTAGTCGTTTGGTCGCCCCATGCATCCTGCTGCTCGGTCTTCCATCTAGTTGTTTCAGTCATGACAGCCCCTGGCTTTTTATATATTAGTATGAGGATAAAGCTTAATATACAATGATATTCACTAAAAAAGACTTTATCATAATCAAAGAGAAAAACTAAATGTAAGCAAAAAATCAGAATGGTTAAGTAAATTACAGTATGGAGCATAAATTTAAAATTATGTAGAGGAAAATATTTATTAGTGAATTATTTAACTCCAGTTAAAAAGGGGGAGTACAAGATTCAAAATTTGATACTACAATTTAAAAGATGTTTTACAAATGGATAGAACTATATTACAACATTAAAATTACTTGTTTTTATTGGTGGAATAATGGACAACTCTCTGCCCAAATGTTTCATACTCCTATTTCACCCCACATTTTCTATAATTACTTTTAAAATAGTAAAGAAGTAAAATGACATACTTATAAACAAGAGGGAAAATGATTAGAGGACATGCTTTTTTCCTGTATTAAAGGCAGATTGGCATATGATATGACTTACTCTTTCGCTTTCCAATATCCATGTCAGATGTAGCAGCTTCACATAGAAGTACCATCCCTAAGGTAACCCCACCATCTTAAAAAATTGTTTAAGGAGCAATTCACATAGACACAAAATACATACCACTTTAAAGAAAATGATAATATATAAATCTACAGTTAATTGTATAATACTGTAAATAAGTAACCTTGTGTCTATACAGCATAAATATTTACTATGAAAATATAATGAAAGCATTTAGGTTGAACTATTACTTTATTTGTAAAAATAAAATTTGGTATTTTAAACAAATATCCCACTGTAACTCATAGACAAACTATGAGTTTTCCTGAAATTTTATTTTGATATAACATTCCTGGACAGTCTTCCAACTTTTGCTTCAACCTCATACACATTTTAAAATACTACCCTGCTGGCATGGCTCAGTGGTTGAGCATCAAGCTATGAACCAAGAGGTCACAGTTTGATTTCCACTCAGCGCATATGCCTGGGTTGCAGGCTTGATCCTCAGTGTGGGGTGTGCAGGAAGCACCTGATCAATGGTTCTCTCTCAACATTGATGTTTCTATCTCTCTCTCTCCCTCTCCCTTCCTCTCTGAAATCAAAGAAAATATTAAAAAATAAATAAAATATTAAATAGACATCTGAGTAATATTTCAACCACCCTCAAAAAAATAACACATTTAAAATATATACCAGTTAGAGAAAATAGCAACTAATTTTTATTTGAAAAACAACTTCTCAAAAATTCTCCAGAATTGTAACAATTAGCTTTTAAAGTACAAATTACTACCTAATTTTGTCCTATTCTAATAAAAAAAGAAAATTCTACATACCATGACTTCACTTTCAATCCGCTTAATATAGAAGCTACATAAATACAAAATAAACATTTCCAGTAAATAGGTAACATATGGCATGGCTGAATGCTAAAATAAACAAAATTGATACAAACAGCAGGTAAAAATGCCCAAATTAATTATGCATACATGCATGCACACTGTATGCTCCGCATGTGGGTATACTTAAAGCAGAAAGGCAAATAAAAGTGCTCATATAAGGCCTAAATTAATAACTGGCTCTCTAATTTGTCTATTCATCCCTTCATCACCATCTTGCGCTTTCTCTTCCATAGCCTCTTGTTAGGAACGATGCCTATTCATCACATTTTTAGTTGCTTGGCTAAATCTTCTCCAGAGCTAATTTTTTTCTTACTGAGGTTCTTTATATCCTGGTATATATAAAGATTGATCATTTCTATAGGCTTTGGTTACAGGGTACTTTAATTAATGGTTGACACTTTAGTATTTGAAAAGATTCATTTTTGTATCATGGTCTATGTGCTTTTTTTAAAAATGAGCTTTCCATTTCAAAATATACTACCAAGGTTTTTGTATTCTGTTCTTAGCTCTCAAGAAACTATGATGCACTTCCTTGTGTATTGTTTCATTTCATTTATTGATTCTTCAAACTTTTACTAACACTGCCTACTACTATAGGCAGACACTGCCCTATACTATATGTTGGAATTACAAAGTTGGATGAAATATAGACCCTTCCTTGGACAAGTTTACACTCTAGTGGGGGGATACAGTGAAATAAAGAATAATTATGATTAACTAATCATAATTAAATGTTACTCTGGAAAAACTGAATAGAAAATAGAGAAGGTAGTATTCCATAACATACAAGAACTGGGCTATTAAAAGAGCTAGTAGAATCAAAGTACCTTAATACATGATGAAGGCAAATATATTTGCATAAAATGAAACCTAATTACAAAATTGTGGGAAAATGTTTAAATTACCTTAATTATTGCTGTCCAAAGTAGATTTAAACAATGACCTACAATGTTTAGCCTACTGAATTAGCAGTTTACAAAAATGACAATATGGCGAAGACTTGCGAGGGATATCAGAGCACATACATTTTCTGGCAGCAATCCTCCCCACCGCCCCACCTTTGTTTCTTTAGCAAAAACCTTCTGGAGCCCTGACCAGTTTTGCTCAGTGGATAGAGCATCGCCCTGCGGACTCAAGGGTACCAGCTTCAATTCCGGTCAAGGGCATGTACCTTTGTTGCGGGCACATACCCAGTAGGGAGTGTGCAGGAGGCAGCTGATCGATGTTTCTCTCTCATCAATATTTCTAACTCTCTATCCCTCTCCCTTCCTCTCTGTAAAAAATCAATAAAAAGCCAAAACCGGTTTGGCTCCGTGGATAGAGCGTCAGCCTGCGGACTGAAAGGTCCCAGGTTCGATTCCGGTCAAGGGCATGTACCTGAGTTGCGGGCACATCCCCAGTAGGGGATGTGCAGGAGGCGGCTGGTCGATGTTTCTCTCTCATCGATGTTTCTGACTCTCTATCTCTCTCCCTTCCTCTCTGTAAAAAATCAATAAAATATATTAAAAAAAAATCAATAAAAAAAAAACCTTTTGGAAAGCAACGTGGACAAAACATCAAGAGCAAAAGACAGTTTCACACGCTTTGTTTCAAATCTTACTGTTGGGAATTTGGAGATATGGCAAATTATTTTTATATCTAAGAAAACATTTTTTGTAATGTTCAACAATAGAATTATTCAATTATAATATATCCATTAGATAAACACTAGAGACCTGGTGCACAAAATTCGTGCACAGGTGGGGTCCCTAGGCCTGGCTGGAGATCAAGGCCAGGCCAATTGGGGCCCAAAGGCCCCGGCAGGGTCACGAGAGGAGGCGACAGTCACTGGGCTGGGCGCAGAAGGAACAGACGCCTGATGCCGATGCTGCCACTGCACGGTTCTGTGCCTCCCCCCTCCTTCCCTTAATGCTGCGCCACCACCATGGCGGGCGGGTGGCAGGCTGATCAGGGACTGCAGCCCTGGGGGAGGGACAGGGCGTGGGAGGTTGGCTGCAAGCCCCTAAGAGGGAGCTGGTCCTTGGCCACCCTGGGAAAGGGGTTGCGTCCGCCACCACTCACCCCCCGGTTCCCTGCCCCAGCCCGGGCCCGGCCCCAATCAGGTAATTGGGGCCTGCTGACCCGGGGGGAGGGACCATGGGAGGTTGGCCGGCTCGGGGAGGTTGGCTATGGGACTGCACTGACCATCAGGGGGTAGCTCTTACATTGAGCATCTGCCCCCCTGGTCATCAGTGTGTGTCATAGCAACTGGTTGTTCTGGTTGTTCAGTTGTAATGGTCGCTTAGGCTTTTATATATAGATTAGGAATGATGACTATTTTTCCTTGCCTTATTTTCTTTTTAAAAAAAATATACTTTTATTGATTTCAGAGAGAAAGGGAGAGGGAGAGATAGAAACATCAATGAGAGAGAATCATTGATCGGCTGCCCCCTGAACACTCCCTACTGGGGGATTGAGCCCTCAACCTGGGCATGTGCCCTTAACTGGAATTAAACCTGGGACCCTTCAGTCTGCAGACCGATGCTCTATCCCCTGAGCTAGGGCCTTGCCTTATTTTCTTATTTCTCTGTGATTCCCATGCACTTTTGTAACTATGAAGGCCATACAATGATATAGAAAATGCTTATAATACATTAAGAAACCAAACTACAATTAAAGTATGTCTTTTTTTAAAAAAAAAAAGGGGGGGGGAGGGGTAGACAGAATCATCAATGAGAGAGAACATCTATGAAGGAGAACATTGATTGGCTGCCTCCTGCATGCCCCCTACCAGGGATTGAACCTGAAACCTGGGCATGTACCCAGAGCAGGAATAGAACCAGTGACCTCTTGCTGCATGGGTCAATGCTCAACCACTGAGCAACACTGGCTGGGCTAAAGTACGTCTCTAACTATAAAAAAAGAACCCCTCCCTCCCACCCCTCATTGTAAAAGTACAAAGAGTATGAGCAAAGAATGCAAAAGATATGCAAAAAAATAAACAGAGTTTAACAATAGTGTTTTAGATTACAGGTGAAAAAATTCGATATTGCTACCTTATTATTTTTTTCAAGTATAACTTATTATGATTAATATCATAAGCGACAGATAAAGACAATTTTAAAAAATCATTTCTGAGTTCAATACAATCTATAGTTATAGACCTTGTTCATGTCTTAGTACAGCTTCTACTTTATTTAATTTAAATATATTTAATGTATGAGTCTATTTATGTAAAGTTAAAAAATAGGTAAAACTAATCCATGGTGTTAACAATCAGGACAGTAGTTAACTTTGGGCAGAAAGGAAGTCAGATGTCCGAAGATGGCCGGTCAACCCAGTCTAGTTAGCATATTACCTTTTTATTAGTATAGATTATACTTTTCAGCTCACCATTCCATGGCTGAATAGATTAAGTCTTCTGACTCCAGACTGAATTTTAAGCAGGTAAATTTATTTTCCATATTACATAATATTGTTTTAAGAAAATATAATATCCCTAAATGTTCAATTAAAAAAAAAAGACTTAATTTTTCCCCCCCAGAATGTTTCCTTAAAATATCTCTCTTAAATCACTGACATAGCCCTAAACTAGTTTGGCTCAGTGGATTGAGCATCAGCCTGAGGACTGAAGGGTCCCAGGTTTGATTCCAGTCAAGGGCACATGCCCAGGTTGTGGCCTCAATCCCCAGTGCAGGGTGTGCAGGAGGCAGTCGATCAATGATTCTCTCTCATTGATGTTTCTCTCTCTCTTTTCCTGAAATCAATAAAAATATATTTTTTAAAAAATCACTGACAAAATAAAATGGGGAAAGATTTACAAGGGCAGGCAAAAGTAGGTTTACAGTTATATGTGAAACAGTTTATTCTTATATTATTATTTATTAATTATTGTATTATCTATCATGAACAACTATAAACCTACTTTTGGCCACCCGTATACACAAATATTTACTAAAGGTGGTATTTTCAGGGGTTTTGATTTTTTTCTTTCTATAGTACTTAAACTACTGGTTTCTTACTGAATGAAGAACACTGTTCTCTGAAATCATACACTGATTCATATTAAACATTCCATTCCTGCCTGGAGGATCAAAGTCCCTCAATTTCCAAGATAATTTTTTTTGTTAAAATATATTCTTATTTATTTCAGAGAGGAAGGGAGAGGGAGAGAGAAACATCAATGATGGGAGAGAATCATTGACTGGCTGCCTCTTGTATGCCCCCTACTGGAGATTGAGCCTGCATGTTCTAACCTGGAATCGAACAGTGATCTCCTAGTTCATAGGTCGAAGCTCAACCACTGAGCCACGCCAACTGGGCTACAAGTACAATTTTTAAGTAGCCTCAATTTACAACCAAAGTACAGAGTTTTAAATAAGGAGTTCTGAAGACAACAATCCACATTTATCTAAAATTTATAGTTTCCAGGAAACAGAACCCTGTCCACTTCACAGTCCCAACCTGAGGCTGACCCCTTTACACTTAGCCTGGTATTGCTTTGAGCTTATCAAGACATTGTTTCATTTACATTTCACCTAAACCCCACATCTTGCCCAAATCCTAGAACCCTGTCTTTTCTAAGGTAAGATGTCCCTTGGTTCCCTTGATATGCAATCTACCTTGTAGCAAAATCCAATAAACCTGGCTTTATCAGACTGCAGGTTTATCCCTGGTGGTCTTCAGTTGATTAGGCTAAAGATAGATGATATAGTAATATGATTACAAAGACATTATGACTTGCATTAATAAGAGAGGAGGCTCAACCAAACTGTAGAGAGAATACTATAATGTGAGAAAAAAAAGACGAATTAAAACACAGCACCAAGGACTTATTATAAAGAGGATACTGAATAGAAGAACAATATGTGTTTCAGCTACAAACTGGGCTTGACTGCTTCCATGGATATAATTCTGGGAGGAAAAAAGAGACAAAATTAAATCTTTAAATATACATTAAATATTGGTATCCTAATCCTAAAATGGGCTATTTTCAAACTCTATGAAATTAATTCACCTTATGTGTGTAAGCAATAGGTCAGTGGCATTCATCATAAATAAAAACTATTTCTGTGTTATTTAAAATTTTTATCTTTTCATTGTACTTATACTACCTTTTCAACAACAGAATCATGAGAAAACCAGTATTTCAGTATACAAAACTGTGAGGTACATAATGTAAGCTCCATGATGATAGGGATCATACTTTTCTTGTTTATCACTATATCTAATAATAAGTATATAGCACAGTGCTTAGAAACAGTAGAGCCTCAAGTACTTGATCAATATTGTATTTAGCTGAAGGCTGACTTTCATTCTTAGCTAGATTATTCAAAAGGATACACCAAATGGCAGAAGGAACTTTTAAGAGCACTGTATCTTCTATTCAGCAACTGAAGGTCGTAAACAGAAAGACTGAAAATCCAAAACTAAATCTAGTTCCCTCATATGCTGGCACTGGTCTCACAGGCTAATCATTAAGGTTAACTTTGGTATACAATGAAAAGAAATCCTGGACTTCCCTTACCACATGTCCTGTGTGGGGATTCTTATGAGCATATGGTGGTCCTCTTATATGATTCCACATTTGACCAGATGTCATAGCAAGCACAAAACACTAGGAAACAAAATGTAATGACATACGCTTTAACATGGTGGTTGTTCCCACCTTGATTAAATTGATAGGCACATGAAAAGTATGAAAAGTACATCTGCTTAAGACTCAGCGGTTGTCAACCTGTGGGTCGTGACCCCTTTGGCGGTCAAACAACCCTTTCACTGGGGTTGCCTAAGACCATCTTGCATATCAGATATTTACATTATGATTTATAACAGTAGCAACATTACAGTTATGAAGTAGCAACGAAAATAATTTTATGGTTGGGTCACAACATGAGGAACTGTAGTTAAAGGGCCAGAAGGTTGAGAACCACTGGCTTAAGTAATACATGAAGAACAAATTTTTTCAGATAAATTATTTAATTAAGGCTTATATTTCACAAGGATCCCAAGAATACATAATATTTACTTCAAAAGGAAAAGACCATTTAAAAATTATAAATAAGCTGTTACAAGTTTTAAAATTGAATATTGAAAAGTCCTTTAAAAGAATATTTTTTTAAAAACTGCATATTTTCTAGAGGTGACAGTCTATCATTTAGGTTGAACAAAAACTAGGTACTCTCCAAGCTCTAACCATCCTAATGACATAATGGAGGAGACACACTGATTTTAAGGCATAAAATAAAAATATATATTGCCAGAACCGGTTTGGCTCAGTGGATAGAGCGTCAGCCTGCGGACTGAAGGGTCCCGGGTTCGATTCCAGTCAAGGGCATGTGCCTGGGTTGCGGGCACATCCCTAGTGGGAGATGTGCAGGAGGCGGCTGATCGATGTTTCTCTCTCATCGATGTTTCTGACTCTCTCTCTCTCCCTTCCTCTCTGTAAAAAATCAATAAAATATATTAAAAAAAAATATATATATATATATATATAAAATCCTTTCCACAGTAAGAAATAAACAAAATGCTACCTACCAATACAATATTAGTTTTATTCATGCAATTTTCTTCTAAAATTCACTCACCAAAGCTGCAAAAGCCCATCCAGTTTTATTAAAGAGAAATTCCATATTGCTTCTTCGGAGATACACAAGTCCACCAATAACAGCTAAAAGCAATCCCAACATAAGGGGACCAGCATAATTTGGAGGTCTTATTACTCTAATCTAATGGAAAGAAGAGAAAAACATTTTAAAGTATGAAATTGATTCACTAATTACATAGGTCAACATAATTTGAAATGGAAGCAATCAAAATCAGTGTGGTTACTTTCAGGGAAAATTACAATTTTTTATTTTCATCTAATCATGAGTCTACATCAGCCGTGGGCAAACTACGGCCCGCGGGCCGGATCCGGCCCGTTTGAAATGAATAAAACTAAAAAAAAAAAGACCGTACCCTTTTATGTAATGATGTTTACTTTGAATTTATATTAGTTCACACAAACACTCCATCCATGCTTTTGTTCCGGCCCTCCGGTCCAGTTTAAGAACCCATTGTGGCCCTCGAGTCAAAAAGTTTGCCTATCCCTGATCTACATGCTTGGCTCTACAATATATCTTAAAATGGGATGGAATAAGTACAATATTCTTTTTAACCACAACATAATACCTTTGATTAATAAGTATTTGCCAAGTGCAACTAGATAGTCCACAGACTTTAATAATGTCAAAAGAGTGGTTTTCATTCTGAATTAAATAACAGGATGTTTTATAATTTCACTCTTTCATCATGCTGATTCTGTTAAATGCTACTTATGAAGGGACTGCCAAACTACATATTACCACCTCAGTGATATGGGGACAAGACCAATTAGGACATCCCCAGTAAGATTCCAAGTGGATAATGGCAAAGTAACTTTCTACAAAGTAGGGAAACTTACAGTGACATCAGTTCTGTCAGCAATCCACCGGGCAATCTGCTCAGCTGAAAAACCACGCACCTGCAACTCATATGTATCACCTCTTTTGGGTTTCCCTTTTGCAGGAAAGTTGATAAAAGTTGGAGCTGAATTCATGTTTAGCTAAATAAGAAGTAGTCCATGAAAACATAAGTTACCAAGAAAAGAAGTAACAGCAAATATTATCTTGAAAATTAGGCATTTTATAAAGATGAGGAAGCCCAGGTTTAAGTAGGTTAAGTGACTTACCTAAGGAAAATGGTAAATGGCAGAGCCAGGATTCAAATCCAAGGCTGCCTGTGACCTTAATTAGCACACTGCTGACCAAATAGAAACTCCTAGCTAAGAAACCTACATTTTACTCCTTTACAATGGAAAATTGCCCATACCGCCAACATTTTAATCTGTTCTGAGATTATGCAAAAAAACATTCATTAGAACTAAAACTGTCTCATGTAGCTGAGGCAAGCTCCAAATAGAGTACATTCTCGCCCTAATCGGTTTGGCTCAGTGGATAGAGCATCGGCCTGAGGACTCAAGGGTCCCAGGTTCAATTCCGGTCAAGGGCATGTACCTTGGTTTCGGGCACATCCCCAGTAGGGGTGTGCAGGAGGCAGCTGATTGATGTTTCTCTCTCATCAATGTTTCTAACTCTCTCTCTCCCTTCCTCTCTGTAAAAAATCAATAAAATATATTTTAAAAAAAGATTTAGAGTACATTCTCAATTAGAAGGAAACTGTAAGATAGTGCTCTAACATTGCAATGAAAACCAATACAAAATGGTAGCCATAAGCAGAAATAGTTAATTCTAAAAGGCTCATAAATGTTTACTGATAAGCACCACAGTTCTTGATACTCTATGATGAAACCATGATATGTTTAAGAAGACAACACTGGAATTGCTAAAATAAAGAAACCATGACTGACTTATCTGCATTCTATCTTCCCTGACCTAAATGTACTTGTGAAAAACAGAAAGTCTAAGTCCAGGGAAAAGATGCTGGACCATCAGATGCAAACATTCAGGTTCACTCAGCAAGTAACCCTAAAATGAAGATTAGCTAGTATGAAACAATTATAATTAAAAGATGTCAGACAATATCATAATCCAACTTCCTCACTTTGATTCTACACTCACAATAAAACCCTTCTAAACATAATTGTTTAGACTTATCCATAAGTGGAGAGGGTATACTGATTAGTGGGTATAATTATTTTAGTTTCCCTCGCAGTATAATACAGGGAATTAATAGATTAGCTTTTTGGCTACCAACGCCTATGGACTTCTAAAAAAATGTTTTTATTGATTTCAGAGAGAAAAAGGGAAAGGGAGAGAAGGATAGAAACATCAATGTTGAAAATCATTGATTGGCTGCCTCCTGCACCACCCCCCGGGGAATGTGCTCCGACCAGGAATCGAACCATGACCTCTTGGTTCAAGGGTTGACACTTAACCACTGAACCACAACGGCCGGACATGGATTTTTATGATTTGGTGAGTGTGCACAAAGTCTCCAGAGTTAGATAAATTCTGATCACACTGTTAAAATTCAATTTCTCAGCCTGCAAAGCTAAGGACACTGTTCACTCCACCAAACTGCTACCCAAATTTTAGGCCCAACTCTTCAATATTTGTTTAGCTATATCAGCTTTGGATTTCTTTAAAAATATGTCTAGAATGATTAAAATGGTGACAGAGTAAGTGGAAGCTACACTGACACTCCCAGGACCAAATAGGAAACACAACTAAAATACAGAAAAACTATCCTGAAAAATCAACTAAAGACTAGCTGGAAAACTCTGATAACCAAGGACAAAAAAATGGAGACTGCATACTTGCCCAGATGGTGTGGCTCAGTGGTTAAGCATCGACCTATGAACCAGGAGGTCACGGTTCGATTCCCGGTCAGGGCACATGCCCAGGTTGTGGGCTCCATCCCCAGTGTGGGGTGTGCAGGAGGAAGCCGATCAATGATTCTCTCTCATCATTGATGTTTCTATTTTCTCTCTCCCCCTCTTCCTTGCTCTCTGAAATCAATAAAAATATTTATTTTAAAAAGTTTTAAAAAAATTACAGGGTTGTGCCCTAACTGGTTTTGCTCAGTGGCTAGAGCGTCGGCCTGCAGACTGAAAGGTCCCAGGTTTGATTCCGGTCAAGGGCATGTACCTTTGGGGGTATGCAGGAGGCAGCTGATCGATGTTTCTCTCTCATTGATGTTTCTAACTCTATCCCTCTCCCCTCCTCTCTGTAAAAAATCAAAATATATTTTAAAAAAATTACAGGGTTGTAAGGAGCAACCCCAGTCCATTCCTGCACCCACTATTACCATTTCTAGACTTTTCTGAATTGATCCATATACATATGAATGTACCAACAGAAAACATGTAATATTGCTTTGTTTGCCTTATTTTATTAATATACTTTTATTTATTTCAGACAGGAAAGGAGAGGGAGAGAAAGATAGAAACATTAATAATGAGTGAGAAGCATTGATCAGCTGCCTCCTGCACACTCCCTACTGGGGATCAAGCCGCAACTGGGCATGTGTCCTGGCTGGGAATTGGACCTCTTGGTTCATAGGTCAATAGTCAACCACTGAGCTACTGAGCCACGCAGGCTGGGCCAATTTGCTTTTTTTATTTATCCATGTTTGCGAGATCTATCCATGACTATCTATCTATCTATCTATCTATCTATCTATCTATCTATCTATATCAAATTCACTCATATTTTATTAATTGTGTTACTGTTGGACTTAAGGGGTTTTTTTCTTTTTTTCCATTAAAATATAATGTTCCAATGAGCAGTCATGTACTTATCGCCCTGTATACCTGTGAGAGTGTTTCTATAGAAATAGAACTGTTGGATCAGAGGGCAGGAACATTTTAAGTCAAAATGGATAGAGCCAACTTGCCTTCCAAAATAGCTATACCAATTTATACTTCTATCCATTAATGTCGGAAATTACCTATTTCCTCACATTTTTGCCAAAAGTTGATCTAATGTGTAAATATTGTATATCACTATTATTGTAACTTGTATTTCCATGATTACTAATGTAACATCTTTATACTAAATAAGCACCTTAAAACTATCCTGTAGGCTAAAGACACAATCAGCAGAATGACCTGGCTGGTTTGGCTCAGTAGATAAAGCGTTGGCCTGTGGCCTGAAGGATCCCAGGTTCGATTCAAGTCAAGGGCGCATGCCCAGGTTGCGGGTTCAATCCCCAGTGGAATTGAACTCGCAGGAGGCAGCTCATTGGTGATTCTCTCTTATCATTAATGTTTCTGTCTCTCTCTCCCTCTCCCTTCCTCTCTGAAATCAATAAAAATATATTTTAAAAAAAGAATGAAAGGGCAATCTATGAAATGGTAGAAAATACCCACAAATCATATGTTTGATAAGGGGTTAGTATCCAATATATATAAAGAACTCCTATAATTCAACAAAAAACCCAAATTGACTAAATACTAGGTAAAGGATCTGAATAGACATTTCTCCAGAAAAGATATACAAGTGGCCAATAAGTACATGAAAAGATGCTCTACCTCACTAATCCTTAGGGAAATACAAATCAAAACCACGATGAGCTATTACCTCACACCCATTAGGATGGCTACTATAAAAAATAAAAATAAAAACCAGAAAATAAGTGTTGGTAAGGATATAGACAATTTGAAACTCCTGTGCACTGCTGGAATGCAAAATGGTGCAGTCACTATGTTATACAGTACGGAGTTTTCTTTAAAAATTTATGAAGAAACCTAGCTGACTTTGTTCAGTGGATGGATTGTTGGCCTGTGAATGGAAGGGTCCGGGGTTCAGTTCCTGTCAAGGACACATGCCTGGGTTGTGGGTTTGGTCCCCAGTGTGGGGCCTGCAGGAGGCAGCTGATCAATGATTCTCTCTTATCATTGATGTTTATCTCTCTTCCTCTCCCTTCTGCTCTGAAGTCAATAAAAAATATATTTAAAAATAAAAATAATAATTAAAAATTATGAACAGAAATGCCATATGATCTAGGAATTCCACTTCTGGGTATATATCTAAAAGAACTGAAAGCAGCCCAGCCAGTGTGGCTCAGTTGATTGAGCATCAACCCATGAACCAGGAGGTCATGGTTCAATTTCCGGTCAGGGCACATGCCCAGGTTGTGGGCTCTATCCCCAGTAGGAAGCATGTAGGAAGCAGCCGATTAATGATTCTCTCTTTCATCAATGTTTCTATGTCTATAGCCCTCTTCCTTCCTCTCTCTCTAAAAAATCAATAAAAACATTTTTAAAAAAACTTTTAAATAATAAAATATACAAAGAACTCTTAAAATACTACAATAAGAAAACAAACCAATTAAAAAATGGGCCCGATCGCACAATACACACAGATAATAATGCAGTAAAAGCCTGAGGGGGGCCCGGTACAGAGTGAGGGAGTCAATGTAGGGGGGAGAGATATCTGTAACACTTTCAATAATAAAGATAATTTTTTTAAAAATGGGCCCAAGATCTTAAGGGACATCTCACCAAAATAAGCATTTGAAAAGATGTTCCACATAATATATCACTAGAGAAATGCAAATGAAAACAGTGAGATACCACTACACACCCACTAGCATGGCCAAATGCAGAACACGGATACCACCAAATGCTGATGAGGATGTGGTGTAAGGGTAACTCTCATTCATTGCTGCTGGGCATGCAAAATGGTACATCTGCATTGGAAGATAGTTTGGCAGTCTTCCGAAACTTGGAAGCAACCAAGATGTCCTTTAGTGAGTGAATGAATAAACAAACTCTGGTACATCAGGACAATGGAATATTATTCATCAATAAAGAGAAATGAGCCGTAACCGGTTTGGCTCAGTGGATAGAGCATCGGCCTGCGGACTGAAAGGTCCCAGGTTCGATTCCGGTCAAGGGCATGTACCTGGGTTGCGGGCATATCCCCAGTAGGAGATGTGCAGGAGGCAGCTGATCGATGTTTCTCTCTCATCGATGTTTCTAACTCTCTATCTCTCTCCCTTCCTCTCTGTAAAATCAATAAAATATATTTAAAAAAAAAAAAAGAAATGAGCTACCAAGCCATAAAAAGACATGGAGGTACTTTCAAAACATATTACTAAGTGAAAGAAGGCAATTAGAAAAGTCTACATACTGTATGATTCTAACTATATGGCATTCTGGAAAAGGCGAAACTATGAGAAAAGTAAAATATCAACCAAAAGTTAGAAGGGAGGATGGACTGGCAGGGTATGGATGATTTTTAGGAAAATAAAAATACTCTTTATGATACCATATTGATGGACAATTTGTCCAAACCAGTAGACTATACAATACCAAGAGTTAACTGTAATGTAAACTATGAGCTTTTGGGTGATTATGATGTATCGATGTAGGCTCATCAACTGTAAAAAATGTACTACTCTGGTGGGAAAGTTGATAGTGGGAGAAGCTATTCATGTGTGAGGTAGGGGGTATATAGGAAATTTTTGTATTTATCCCTTAATTCCGTAGTGAACTTTAAGTTGCTCTTTAAAAAAAATAGACTTCAGCTCTAGCCGGTTTGGCTCAGTGGATAGAGCATTGGCCTGAAAACTGAAAGGTCCCAGGTTCGATTCTAGTCAAGGGCACATGCCCGGGTTGCAGGCTCGATACCCATTGTGGGGCATGTAGGAGGCAACCGGTCAATGATTCTCTGTCATCATTGAGGTTTCTTTCTCTTTCCCTTCCTCTCTGAAGTCAATAAAAATATATTTTAAAAAAATTAAGCAACTGTCCGGCCGGCTTGATTCAATGATAGAGCCCTGACCTATGAACCAGAAGGTCACGGTTCGATTCCCGGTTGCAGCCCATGCCCAGGTTGCAGGCTCAATCCCCAATGTGGGGCTTGCAGGAGGAAGCTGATCAATGGTTCTCTCTCATCACTGATGTTTCTATCTCTCTCCCCCTCTCCCTTACTCTCTGAAATCAATTTAAAAAATATAGGTGAGAGAGGTTATGATTGACAGAGCTCATACATATGGGATCCAGGGCACAGGAAAGGGGTGAAGCTCTGAACAAGAAGGAGCTTTCCCACTAAGACAAGAAAGAAGCAAGGGGATAAAGACAAGTACAGTACCTAACTCTACTAAAAACTTCAATATTACAATGATGGTATAATGATGGATTAATGCTGTGATTTTAAACATTACTTGATAAATTGTCCACTAAAAATGTTTAAAATGTTAATTTTTATTATGTATATTTACCACAAGTGTATGTGTGTGTGTGTATTACTTGATTACAACTCAATTTCCATATTCTATTAGGTTAAGCACTGACCATTACATTTCATGGCTAGCTCAAGTTTAGTTCTTATTTTACTAAGTACTCTAGATCTTACATAAAACAAGTCATATTTAACTTCTTGTAGCCATTGAAAAAGATGTATTTCACTTTATCCATAGTTTGCCTATTCCTACGTAATAGAATAAACCAAAGATCTTACCATCTGAAATACATCAGAGCCTTCATCAAAATCCACCATAGCAAAAAATATCCTGTTTGTAAATGCACTGGAGTATCGCCAGGAGTTTGCCAGGATCTGGAATTCTTCATCCGCTTGCCTGGGTGTAATCAGATTTGTGAAGATAAAATATAAAACATTTTTAAAAGCAATCTAGTTTATTAGAAATAAAAAAGATCCAAAGACTCAACAGTTTTTCCAATGGTGGGGGGCAAGTCAGGCTCTGCTTACGGCAGCAGTTCTCAACCTGTGGGTTGCGACCCTTTTGGGGTCGAACGACCCTTTCACAGGGGTCACCTAAGACCATCGGAAAACACATATATAATTACATATTGTTTTTGTGATTAATAACTATGCTTTAATTATGTTCAATTTGTAACAATGAAAATACATCCTGCATATCGGATATTTACGTTACGATTCATAACAGTAGCAAAATTACAGTTATGAAGTAGCAACGAAAATAATTTTATGGTTGGGGGTCACCACAACATGAGGAACTGTATTAAAGGGTCATGGCATTAGTAAGGTTGAGAACCACTGGCTTACGGGGTTAGGACAAACGCTGACAGTCTGTCATTGTTTTTGGCATAAGAGAAGTCTTACCCCAAATGTTGGGGATTTCAATAGAAAGTAGTAATTATCTGTCTATACTTTATACTTTGTGCCTATTTCTTATCGTAAAGTCCTTCAGTAGTCACCAGAAAATCCAGCTAATTGTCTCTACTACAATTTTTTAAAAATGTTTTTATTAATTTCAGAGAGAGTAAGGGAGAGGGAGAAAGAGATAGAAACATCAACGATGAGAGAGAATGTGGTATTTTGTGAAAGAGCCACACTCAAGGGGTCAAAGAGCCACATGTGGCTCGCGAGCCGCGGTTTGCTGACCAAGCTCTAGGTTTTAAATTTATTCATGGTTAATACCCACTACTCTTTTTCCTTCTTCTGTTTACTTATAAGTTATATTCACCATATACCCCATAAAACAAGCACCCTGGAACCAAATACCTTGACTATCTCCTACCTCCAAGGAAAAAAATCCTTTAATAAGAGTTAGCAAGGGTTAGGGTAGCATAGCACAGTATTGTGAAAGGAGGCTGACTATTCCTTCACATGAGCCCAAGCTGTCAGAATTTGGAAAGCCTCCAAGGATTTTACTTAATTAAGTTCTTCACAGGACTGCTTTGACATTTCATTTAAAGTAAATTCCCAGATCACACATACGGATTTTAAAATATAAGTTAAAACAACATCAGAAAAAGCTAAAAATCCACTATTTTTAATTATCCATAGCACTTTCGTTTAAAAAAATATCAATCTTTATTCCTAAGATCATTCAGAAACAGAAAAATAAGTCAATAAACCATTATTTGATGAAAGTGAAATTGACGTATAATCACTACAAAATAATCTAGAAAAAAAGAAACATCTCTAACATAAATCATGCATCTTTATTTTCTAAAAAAGTTCTCTTGAAATTCCAAACTTGGATGCAGCCACCATTATTGTATTAATAAATATCTCTAGCTTTGGGTAGACCAGTTAAAATTTTAGAACTTGTTTCTCCCAACCTGAGAGAATATTTGCTTTACTACCTTCTGGGGCTGTTGTGATAAAACAAGAGTATGAAGTTGAAAACACAAATAATAAAACACTACCATCAATGCTATTGGCATACATTTATATAAGTTGATAACAATTTAGAAGATAATTGTTAGATTTATTCCTGATGGTTCCAATACTTTATTCTTGCTCTTTGTTCCCCCTACTAATATGGACAACCAAGAAGTGACTATAAAAGAGTAGTATTGTGTGTTAGTATAAATATCTTAAGATATACACATTAATTATGTACCCACTAAACTAATCTAGTTCTCTGGAATTGAAAAAACGGTTAAAATCTTATAAGTTATTTAATTTTAAAGTGTAGTTGAAGGTTCATACTTGCACACGACACACTGTCTATGAAGTTGGAGAGCAGTGAACATGACAATAACGGAGTAGTTTCTTGGTGGGGCTTTAACAAGGCGACGGAACTTGTCTCCATTCATTCTTATTACAGGTCTTTTATTGGTCCATTCCATCAGTTGACTAACCTTTTCAGATAACACCATCTAAAAAAGACAAAGGGAGCATGCCATTCTAAACTTGTCATGTAAAAAAATATTTAAAAAAATAAACTTATTATATAAAGTTCCTTTTATCTAGGCAACTTAACACCAAGACTAACAAGTAGAGTTATAGAAAATTTGAGAGACCTAGAAGTAAACTAGGAGTTGGGCCTAAAGATGATAATTATTCTTAAAATTAGATTATTTCATGAGATTTAATGAAATACTATACTTTTGATATGACTTGTTTTTTATTTACTAATAAATAAAATGACATAAAATCATTAACCCTTTCATTTGCCAAAGATTCCAAAGAATATGGAGTTAAACCAACTATATAGCTATAATAAGCAAGGCCAGGTGGCAGTGATGAAAGGATAGATACATAGATCAATGCAACAGAACCCAGAACCCGAAAATAGACTTACACAAGTATAGCCAACTAAGTTTTCAAAAAAGTGCAAAAGCAACTCAGTAGAGCAGGGGTGGGGAATGTCCAGCACGCTAAATCATTTGATCTGGCCCTACCAAGGAAATTGCAGGTGGGTCTCGAAATTCAATAAATCTAGGAGCTTTCTTCATAGTAACAAATTTATATTAAGTGAATCATATTAAGTGAATGATGTTCTAAGTATCCAAATGGCCCTTGGCAGAAAAAAGGTTCCCCACCCCTACAGTAGAAGAAGGAGCCTTTTCACAAATGGTTCTGGAGCAACTGGACATCCATAGTCCAAAATATGAATCTCAAAATAAACTTCATATCTTATACAAAAATTAATTCAAAATGGATCACATACCTAAATGTAAAAATTAAAACTATAAAAATTTTAGGAGAAAATGCTCAGGATCAAGGGCTCAGCAAAATTCTTAGAGCTGACACCAAAACACAATTCATAAAAAGGCCGAAACCAGTTTGGCTCAGTGGATAGAGCGTCGGCCTGCGGACTGAAGGGTCCCAGGTTCGATTCCGGTCAAGGGCATGTACCTGGGTTGCGGGCATATCCCCAGTAGGAGATGTGCAGGAGGCAGCTGATCGATGTTTCTCTCTCATCGATGTTTCTAACTCTCTATCTCTCTCCCTTCCTCTCTGTAAAAAAATCAATAAAATATATATTTAAAAAAAAAACAAAAAAAACCCAATTCATAAAAAGAAAAAAACATTGATAAACTGGATACCATCAAAAGAAAAACTTTTGCTCTGTGAAAGACCCTGTGAAGAGGATGAAAAGACAAGCTACAGAGTGAAAGAAATTATTTTCATACTATATATGTCACAAAAGATCAGTAGCTAGAATATATTTTTTAAAACTATCAAAATTCAAAAATGAAAAACACACAATTCCATTAGAAAACGGGCAAAAAACTAAGACATTTCCTTGAAGGTGATCTACAGACAGGAAATAAATACATGCCAAGATGTCCAACATTGTTAACCATTTCAGATACACAAATTAAGAGCACAATGAAATAGTACTACATACCTGTAACTAAAAGTACAGTGGCAATAAATACTAAAGGCTGGCGAGGATGTAGAGAACCTGGATCTCATACATTGCTGGTGGGAATGTACTATGGCACAGCCACTCTGGAAAACAGTTTGGCAGTTTTTTTAAAAAAATTAAGCAACTGGCCCTAGCCGGTTTGGCTCAGTGGGTAGAGGATTGGTTTGCAGACTGAAGGGTCCCAGGATCGATTCTGGTCAAGGGCGCATGCCTGGGTTATGGGCTCGATCCCCAGTGTGGGGCCTGCAGGAGGCAACCAATCAATGATTTCCTCTCATCATTGATGTTTCTATCTCTCTCTTGCCCTTCATCCCTGAAGTCAATAAAAATATATTAAAAAAAAATTAAGCAACTGTCCAGCCAGTGTGATTCAATGGTCAAGCCTTGACCTATGAACCAGGAGGTCACGGTTCGATTCCCAGTTGCAGTCCATGCCCGGGTTGTGGGCTCAATCCCCAATGTTGGGCTTGCAGGAGGAAGCTGATCAATGGTTCTCTCTCATCACTGATATTTCTATCTCTCTCCCCCTCTCACTTCCTCTTTGAAATCAATAAAAAAATATTTTTTTAAAAAATTAAGCAACTAACCATGCACTAACTATACAATCCAGCATTCCTGAACATTTATCCCAGATAGATGAAAATTTACATCTACACACACAAAAAGAGCTGCATTTTTTTTAATTTTTTAAAAAATATATATTTTATTGATTTTTTACAGAGAGGAAGGGAGAGGAATAGAGAGTTAGAAACACCGATGAGAGAGAAACATTGATCAGCTGCCTCCTGCAAACCCCCTACTGGGGATGTGCCTGCAACCAAGGTACATGTCCTTGACCGGAATCGAACCTGGGACCATTTGGTCCACAGGCCGACGCTCTATCCACTGAGCCAAACTGGTTAGGGCAGAGCTGCATTTTTTGTTTCTTTTTCTCAATGTCTCCCCATTCACAATACAGACCAGGCAAAGAGCCTGAGCTGAGGTGTATATGGGGTAAGTTTACTCTGCCTCCTATTTCTGTACAGTCAGTGTAAGAACACAGCCTGTGGTAAGCACCAGGAGGCCTTTTTGTTTCTTTTTAATAGCCAGTCACCATGAGGCAAAGGAAGACAAGTACAATTAGTCAACAAGAATTTCAGTTGAATTCATGCAATCATATTTATCCTTCCCCTCATCTCTACCCTTATATGCAAACTTTGCAAGAATAGTAAGACAGGAAAAGATAAAATAAAAAGTACAGATGACAAGAATCTCAATGCAGACTTAACACTAATTGATGGTTTTCTTCTTCTTGAACGGGATATATCCTATCTAATAAAAGAGAAACATGGTAATTGGCGTACGACCGCTACCCTTCCCATTGGCTAATTAGGGCGAAATGCAAATTAACTGCCAGCCAAGATGGTGGCCGGCAGCCAGGCAGCTTAAACTGAACATGAGGCTTGCTTGCTTCAGTGACGGAGGACTCCAATGTTCCCCGCCTGCCTTGCCGGCCTCTGAGCCTGCAGTTTGAACATTGTAACAAATATAGAAGCGAAACAAAACCCCAGAAACCTGTTTTCAGCGAGCCCGGGATCTCAGAGCTAGAGTTGATACAGAGTTTCGATTATAGAACCTAAACAAACCAGATACCTACTTTCAGCAGCTGAGGCCTCAGAGCTGGAGCCAAGCCTCAGAGCTAAAGCTGGCCCAGAATTTAAAAAAAAGAAAAAGAAAAAAGGAGCAGTTGGGAGCTTCAGTTCCAGCCTGAAAACAGCCCTCAGCACCTCACCCAGACTGGCCAGGCACCCCAGTGGGGACCCCCCACCCTAAAGGGTGTGTGACCAGCTGCAAAGAGCCATCATCCCCTCATCCAGGCTGGCCAGGCACCCCAGTGGGGACCCCGACCCTGATCCAGGACACCCTTCAGGGCAAACCAGCCAGCCCCCACCCATGCACCAGGCCTCTATTCTATATAGTAAAAGGGTAATATGCCTCCCAGCACCAGGATCAGCGGAGCCGCGAGGCCTCCTGGCACCGGGATCAGCGCCCAAACCCCCTGATCGCCCTGCGGCTCTGTGTGTGACAGGGGGCGGGGCCAAAACCTCCCTATCAGCCCTGCTCTGTTCCTGACAGGGGAAAGCGCCCCAACCCCCTGATCACCCTGCGGCTCTGTGTGTGACAGGATGCAGCGCCCCAACACCCCCACCCCACGGGCCCTACTCTGTGTGTGACGGGGTAGAGCCATAACCTCCCCATCGGCCCTGCCCTGAGTGTGAGAGTGGCGGCGCCCCAACCCCCTGATCGGCCCTGCTCTGTGGGTGATAGAGGGCGGTGCCCCAACACCCACACCCCACGGGCCCTGCTCTGTGTGTGATGGGGTAGAGCCATAACCTCCCCATCGGCCCTGCCCTGAGTGTGACAGTGGCGGCGCCCCAACCCCCTGATCGGCCCTGCTCTGTGGGTGATAGAGGGTGGCACCCCAACCCCCTGATCGGCCCTGCTCTGTGCATGACAGGGGGGAGCTCCCCAACCCCCTGATTGGCCCTGCTCTGTGCATGACAGGGGGTGGCACCGCAACCTCCCCATAGACCCTGCCTTAAGTGTGACAGGGGGCGGTGCCCCAACCCCCCAATTGGCCCTACCCTGAGCATGACTGAGGTTGGCATCGCAACCTCCCAATCTGCCCTGCTCTGTGCATGACGGGGAAGGCGCCCCAACTCCCCAATTGGCCCTGCTCTGAGCCCGACCAGGGGCTGCACCTAGGGATTAGGCCTGCCCTCTGCCACCCGGGAGCAGGCCTAAGCCAGCAGGTCGTTATCTCCCGAGGGGTCCCAGACTGCGAGAGGGCACAGGCCGGGCTGAGGGACCCCCCTCCCCCCCGAGTGCACAAATTTTTGTGCACCGGGCCTCTAGTATATATATATAAAAGGCTAATATGCTAAGTGTCCATCCGGGTAATGGTGTCACATAGCAATGCCTGGCTTCCTCTCCCTAGAGACTAGCCTCCTTGCAATTTCTTCAGCCCAGGAACACGACTTGCTTCCTAGCCAGGTAGAAACATTTTACACTGTAACCAAATGTCTGTGAAGCATTTTCCCATGCTTCATCTCATTTGATCCTCACAGAAGTCCTGGGGTAGGTAGATAGGAAACTCAGTGGAATCCTACTTTTTTTTCATTCGCCGGAAAATGGAGATTTAGAAAGCTTAGAAACTTGACCCGACTGAAAAGAAGTAATAAGTGGTGGACCTTGAAAATGACTTCAGGTTTTCTCACTGTGCAGAATATAGTCAAACACTGCTGCTGCAGCTAAATATTTTACCCTTTGTTCTCCCTGCATGATCTATAATAATAATCTGCTTCGTGTTGATATTTACTGCTGTGTTGCTGACAATTACCTGAAAGAGAAGTTGGGGTGCTTCACTGGGCTGGTAAAAGTTTAGCTAAATCAGAAAGCAGGTCTAATTAAGCAAGTTTGTTCTATATCTATATGGCTAAGTTGACCCACGCATGCACAATA